CCCCCAATCCGGTGATGGTCACCATCTTCATCCTAACTCCTCTAACCATCATTTTCATCTTAATTCCTTTGGCTGCCTTTGTCCACCCCCATTCCATTTTTGTTGCTTTGACTTTCCCCAATATCGATCAACCCTAAAACGTGACAAAGGTGGAGGTGAGAACCCATCACATAGATGAAAATGCTATCACAAAAAATAAGAAAATAGGTAAAAAGACCAAGATGCCCCCTTACTTAACGAATTAATCTAACGGAGTTAGTTACAAGAGACGATTTTCATTGCAAAATATAAACACTAGGTACGATAATTGTAGTTATTGAAGTCTGGAGAGTAGAGATCACTTTCAAAAATTCATGTAAACTACAGGGACCAAAATTGTAGTTTACTCTAATTATAAAAATTAAAATAAATAGCATTGCACATTCAAAGCTTTTTACCCCAAATTTCTAAGTCAAATCATCTACTCAGATTACACATTCTTGTTTAGCACTGCCCAGAAAACCCTCTCTCTCTCTCTCTCTCCCAAGAGGAACTTAAGAGAGAAGGGGTTTTGGCACATAATAATGGCTGATTCTTCTGCTTCATACATTCACATGGTGGGTTAGTTCTTCCCTTTCTTTCTTGTTCTTATATCACTATCAAGATTATCTTTAACCCATCTCTTCACACACACACACACATATATATGATGTATACATATATGTGTGTGTGTATATATATATATATATATATATATGCATGCTTGTGATCTTACATGTATGATATGATTGACACCTCAGTTATAGTAGTTTGATCCACAAGAAAGATGTCTCTCTCAACTTTTCACGATATATACGCATAGCTTATTAGTTCCACTTCCTCTACTTATATATATATATATATATGTGTGTGTGTGTGTGTGTGAGAAAGAGAGAGAGAGAGAGAGAGAGGTGGGTAATTGGATATTTTGAATTTGTTTTTGGGAAGATGAGAAATTGGAGATGAAATTGCAGGTGCATCATCTAATAGAAGAGTGTTTATTATTCAATATGAGCAAAGAAGAATGCATGGAAGCTTTATCTAAGCATGCAAACATCATGCCTGCCATCACTTCTACTGGTACTACATATATATATATATACTCTCTCTCTCTCTCTATATATATATATATACATACATATATATAACCCTATACACCAAGAACACGCACTGAAAACACACACAAACAATATCCCACTTTTCAAAATTTTTAATTAAAATGTTTTGTTACCATTTTATTAATTATGTTTTGATTTAATATATAATTAATAATCTTTTCCTTATTGGATATGGTTTAAGAAAATTATATGTTGAATATATAATTATATATATATATATATATATATAAATATATATAATTCATCTCTCAATAATCAATGCAAAATAGTGTATGCAATTAATTGTTTATGGGATAAAATATAGTTAATTTGACGGGTTTCATTAATTTTATGATAATGTTTTTTAATTAGATATATAATTGTGTCTTGCAAGTTGTTTGGTGCACGTTTGAATATAAGTCTCGTCTGAAAATGAAAATTATAGTGAGAAACGTAAAAAAGTATATGAATTCTTGATCATTTTAATTTTATGTCTACCTATGAATTATGTTTTAGGAGGAAATTGATTCGATGCATCTAGCTGTACTTCGTTAATGTTGACATTCAATTAAGATTTATCTAAGGGTGAATGTCTCCTCTTACGGTAGAGCTGGGTTTTGGTGAGAAGTGTATATCCACCATTGGATCAATCATAATTGAATGTCAATACTAATTAATGAGATGCATTTCAATTTCCATCTAAAGTGCAATTCATAGGTGGGAATGAGATTAAAAGTGATAATGAGTTCAAACATTTTCTTACATTTTTTCACCATAACTTTCTCTCTCACATGATCCTTCGCCAATATATATATACATGGGCTTAGTCATTTGAAAACCCTATTATTACGATAATTGTGAGAATTATCAATGTAAATTATTGTTTCACATAATTTTTTTTTCATCTAACATTATAATTTAATATATTAATTAAACATATATTTGGTTGACAATGTGATTATTTCATATGTATTCAGTTCACAATATGAAACGTTTTAGTTATATATTTTGTTTCACAAACATATAAAAATGTTCACATCGTAAAAAAAAATTATGTGAAACAAATATATTCATTCAATACACTAAATCCAAGTCGTATATGAAAAATATAATTTGAAATAGCATATAATTCACTCGTTTCCGAGATTATGATAATTTTACGAGTTCACAAATTAATAACCCCCCCTCTCTCTCTCTCTCTCTCTATATATATATATATATATATATATATATATATATTTCAAATACAACCAGGTCTATTTGTACAACCAATGCAACCCAAATAAATGAGATATTTATGGAAATGATGAGAGTTCATTTATTATGATTTGAATATTTATGGAAAATGAATGTGATTTATTAATTATGATCAATACTTTATATTAGGAAACAATCAAAACTTCTATGAAATCACATATTCATCAAATTAAATGGACAGTTGAGATTATGTTGTATTGGTTGTACAAATGTAAATGGTTGTATAATAACCAACATATATATATATATATATATATATATAATTTGGTTCACGTGAGACCAACCTGTTTTCGTAAGACCACTTTTTTACATTATATATATATGATTTGGTTCACGTGAGACCAACATGTTTTTGTAAGACCATTTTTTTACACTTAAAAGCCAAACCCTCACAGCAAAAAAACACTGTGAAGGTTACCTTCACAGCGTTTTGCTGTGAAGTTTCAAGTGTAAAAAAATGGTCTCACGGGTTACTTTCACAGCGTTTTGCTGTGAAGGTTCAAGTGTAAAAAAATGGTTTCACGGGTCTTACGAAAATAGACTGGTCTCATATGATCCCGAGTCTATATATATATATATATATATATATGTGTTTTTTTTTATTTACTCTCTGCTTATGCAAATTAATGGTGTGTGAATTTAGTGTGGAATGAGCTTGAAAAAGAGAACAAAGACTTCTTTGAAGAATACAAGAACACAAGAAGGAATAATCAAACACAAACAGTTTCTTCTTCTTCTTCCTCCTAAAAACATTAATCATCGTCAATTTATTCGATTATAAATGCTTTCAATTAATCACTTGTACCTATTGCTTTAGAGTTTGTACCCTTAATTCGAGTTGTATGAATCATGTATATCAAGCTTTTGTATTAATTTGGTTCGCGTTGTTTTCAAATGTTTTGAATCGTGCTCTAAACGGTTCAAACAATAAGGAATCGTTTACCAAATGCTTACTTTATAATCGTTTACTGATAAAAGTCAACACTTTGATCAGTTAACTTAATTATCATCAATTTATTTCACCATAAATGCTTTAAATTAATCACTTGTACCTATTTTCTTAGAGTTTGTACCATTTCGAGTTGCATGAATCATGTATCTGTATGTATGTATGTATGTATGTATGTATGTATGTATGTATGTATATAAACACACACATACACATATGGTTGAGTTCACGTGAGACCAGTCTGTTTTCATGAGACACTTAAAACGACATTTTTACACTTGAAACTTCATAACAAAAGTTGTGAAGATAAAAAAATCTGAACTTTCACAGTAGAAACACTGTGAAAGTTACCTTCATAGTAGAAACATTGTGAAAGTTATCTTCATAGCAGTTTTGCTGTGAACAAATATTGTCTCATAAAAACAACATTGTCTCACATGATACCAAGTCTCTCTCTCTCTCTCTCTCTCTCTATATATATATATATATATATATATATATATATAACATTTGATGCTAATTGTTTCTTGTTGTTTCTAAATACTCGGAATCGTGCTCTAAACGGTTCAAACATCAAATCATCAACCTCCTGCAAGCGATTGAGGTCGTGATCAAACACGTAATGTTAAATAACTGACTAAAGATGCAAAAGAAGTGGTAATATTAAAAGATTTGACGGATTTAGTAACGAGTCAAAACTGTTAAGCAAGTATAATTAGAGATTCGAGTCATAATTTTTTCTAACCATGAGCGTTCGAGCCAGTTTGCATACTTCGAGCAATTCTTGGTCGTTTGACACATAGTTGGTACAAAATTAGGTCAAACTGCATCTATTGGATTAGAATTGGGTTACAGTCAGCCCAACTTGACTTGACAAACCCGATGTCTTTATATACTATAAATTTAATATAATTGACAAATCTTTGATTAATATATGTACGTTAGATTTTTGACCGACTCATAATTAATTATATTTAAAATTATATTACAATTTCAACCGTAATTTTACTTTTTTATTGATATGAATCTTCAACTTTTTTTTGTATATTTTCATTTTAATTTTACTTCGTTTAAAAAATATCATTTAATTCGATTATAAAATGATAAACTAAAGTTTCAACATGATAAATTCGACCAAAATATAATTAATATTATTTCAATAAAATTATTTATTAATTAAAACAATTTTTATTTTTTTATTTTTGTTAGCTCAAATTTTTTGTATTGGCCTTCTTCGTTTCTATAAAACGGCAGGGAGCGATAACAACGGCTGTCTAAGGGGCTGTTTGTTTGGCTCTTAATGGTTCCATTAAGAGCCAACCTCTTAATCGCTAAGAGGTCAAGGCTGTTTGGGAAAAAAAAATACTCTGAATGGTTACATTTTACCTCTTAACCATTTTGCATCCAGGGGCTCTCTAAACCATTCAGACTCTTCTTTTTCCATATTTRCCCTCTCCCCCAACATCTCCCCCACCCTCTCGTCGCCTCCTCCCCCCACCTTACGAATRCGATCGCCCTCTCCCCCAACCAGAGTGTCGTTCGTCGCCACCAACCAGAGTGTCGTTCAAAGACCCTCCCGTCGTTCAAAGACCCTCCCCCACCGTYGCCACCGTCGTTCAAAGACCCTCCCCCACCCTCTCGTCGCCGGACTCGCACAGCCCCTTCTATACAGCACGCCCTTCACATCGCCTCCCACCCCCACGATCGTTGGTCTTCGTCTTCCCCCTCCCCGATCATCGCTCTTCCGGTTGCCATCTCCGGTCGCTCTTCCGGTCGCCGTCTCCGGTCTTCCAGCAGCTCGTATTTCCTCGCTTCCTACCGTATTTCCTCGTATTTCCGTCGCCGTCTCCCCTTCAGTCATAAGGTTCCTTTTTCTTTCTTTCTTCTTCTTCATGTGTGGTGAATGATTGTCTTTGATGTAGGCTTCATCTTATTTGCAACTAATTGATGTTCAGACTTTTGGTTGATCATTATTGATGATATAACTAGGGTTTATAGCTTAGTGATATATGTGCATTGATGATTGCTTATTAGGCAGAGGGACCAGAAGGAGATCTAGATGAAGTTACACACAGGGTTTATCATGCTCTTCCCTCTCCTGTTCAACTTGCTGGTTGCTATTTTCAGGGGTATTGGGCTATGTGGTTCCATGGTCCCTTGATTCTTGTTTTGATCTTTACCTATTTGATCTGCAAGGAATATGAGTGTTTGATACGTTTGTATTTGATTAATATGAAAACTTGTTTTGAACAAGTAATGTTATGTTTGTTTGGATTAATATGAAATATGTAGTTACATTTACAAAGTAATTGTTTTATTCAGATATCTGTCAAACAGTTATATTTCATTCAGTACTAAATCATACAGAGGGTTAAAATGGTAATTTGTTATCATTCAGAGAACATTTACCAAACAACCATATTTCATTCAGCACTTAACCATTCTGACCCTCTTAACCATTCTGACCACTTAACCATTCTGCACAAAACCATTCAGCAACTGCCAAACAGCCCTTAAGGTTTTTGGGCATCGGACACGTGGTGGTTGCGTGGTTGTTGATTACCATCGTGCCATGACACGTGAATGCACGTGGCACTCACATTATTTTTATATTTTATTTTATTAAAATCATTTTTTTCAACCGACAAATATCTAACCGTTTATCTAAATAATACTTAACAATTAAGAGTCAATATTAAAAGTTATTTTACCAGATAAGATTATAATACATCAAAATGGTATCGTATACAACAATTTACTCGGTAAACGCTTACCTGTGTAAGAGTCGTCACCTTCACTTATCTACCAAGACTTCATCTTTATTATTGCTCTTATCGGATCTGATTTTTGACCCTTGTCATGTTCATCCAGTAAAGAAAATTACCCAGTAAACACTTAGCGTGTAAGTGTTTACTGTTTAGTAAACGGCCCGTGAAACTAAAGAACAAATTTTACAAGATATTAGTTAGACCAGTTATATTGTATGGATCGAAATATTTCGTTGATTAAAAAAAAACTCGGTTAAAATAAGTTGGAGTTTGCTGAACTGAAGATGTTTAGATGGATTTGTGGTCGATCATGTTTGAGAGGATATCAAACAAGGTCTATCAGATATTATTAGGATATCAAATAAGGTTTATCAGATATTAATGAGTTGAAATAAAATTCACAACTTATTCGGTCAACTATATATTACTGTTTGATAGTGACTTAATTACCTCACTTGTGTCGTATTGAAAGTTGTCTGGACTGTGCCGAGAGCGGACTCGTGCAACTTCCACCCATTTCCACGCTATTCGTATGCTGTTTTTATTCGAATTTTTTTTTCTATTCAACCATTACAACACGTTTATATATCTCTATGCATGCTTAAAAAATCAGTTCTTTAATTCGAGCGTTTATGCATTTATTGTACCACAAACAACATAGTTGGTGTTCGTTTATCCAATTGGCGGCCTTAAAGCCTCATTTTGAACTCTATTCACATATGAACTTTCTTTAATTCAGGGGTTGTTTGTTTACCTCTTAATAGTTTCATTAAGAGACAACTTCTGAATTGTTAAGAGATGAATCTTATTTTGAAAAAAAATCTGTCTCTTAATGATTCTAAAACATTCTGAATGATTTTGTATCATGAGCCTCTATTAACCATTCAGCACCCTAATTTTATTGTAAACAATTATCAGAGAATTATATTTCATTTGCACTATATCATGATAATATCTTAATCATTTTGATCACTTAATTATTTTTTGCACCTAACCATTTAACAACTGGCAAACATCTCGTACTTATTGAAATCCTTGTAATATTTGTAACTTAACTTCACTGACTTTTTTCCCCTTTGTAAAATGCCATTTTTTTTCGAAACCTTAAAAGTTATTTGAAAGAATGTTTTTGAATGATTTGGATTTCGTGAAAGAATTTTGAATCTTTGGTGTGTTGGTATGTATGATTTAAAATGTAATTAAATTCCATTATTTATAAAAACAAAAAAATGAAAATAAAAATAATTAAATTATTTTTTATTAATTAATTATTATATAGCAACTACTCGTGAGGGCTTTTTTAAATACCAGTTTTACAAGGTGTTACTGAAGTTTCTAGAATTTCAGAAGATTAAAATAAAAATTAATTTAAAATCCGACGAAATCTTACAAACTGAATGGCCCAATTTTTGTCCTAGAATCAGTTGAAAGAAAATGACGTTATATTTCATCCATTATCTCCATGAAATGACCATATATATATATATATATATATATATATATATATATATATATATATATAA